GAAGTCATCTTCAGAGTCAAGTGAATAGTGTTTGTTAGTTGATGATGTCAATGTTATATAAGTCTGGTCCATTGAGTAACACCCTTCAGATCATGTTTAGGAGCTGTTTAACAAGATTTTGTATGGATGTGAATGGTCAATTCAACTTATATGGGAAGCGTAATTTTGCAGATGATTGTTTTATAATTATGTACATTTTGTATCATTTGTAAACAAATTACATTGCTTACTTTGTCACTTCTTTTAGCACATGTTCCACCAATGTCCCCTTCAATGGTTCTATCATTTTTCTCTTCCAGATGTCCAGAGCAAGCTGAGAGAAAATATCAAAAATTAATCAACATTAATTAGTAAACCCTCACAGTTCCAAACTGGAAAGGTTTGTTGACAAGTTTATGGGCATGTGAAGTTTCTAGGGGCAAAATTTGAGAAAACTCTAATTACATGCACAGTGCTTGAAGATGTAAAATTATTGCTCTAATTCCAACTATTGGTGATAGTAACTTGACCAAGTTGAGTACAATTCACGGAGTAATCACGCAAGGACTTTCAAAATTAGATGAGCGCGAAGCCTGAGGCCGGTTTGAAATTATGAGCACAATTACTCCCTGTATTGTACAACACGAAGTCCAATTACTAATTAATCCTATTTATAACAAATTTCGAAAATAAAAAGGTCTCTGGAGAATTTCTTTTAAGCGAAAAAGTCAGTAGCAGTTTCCATAGGTTTTAAAATCTGTAGGACACATTAAGAAAGAAGCCTTTAAAGCACGCATAATTGACGCGCGAATCACGTGGGTATCCAATTACAGGTATCCAATTACAAAACATTGTATGAAGATACCTGTAATTGGACACCCACATGATCGGGCACAGATTACGTGACAAAGAGGCAGGCAGAGGGCCAATCACGATCAAGAGTTTATTTAAAGATATGATTAATTCAATAATCATGCTAAAGGGAAAATGTTTTTCGGCTAGTAAAAATGACTGTGACAGGCTAGTATGTCAAAGTTACTGCTTATTAAGGAGGACAAGCTGGTAAGCTCATTTTCTAAATGCACCCAGCGAGGTGCTAGGCAATTAGGCCACAATGCCTTCAGGACATTTCTGTTCCATTCCATGAAACAACTAGCAGTATTGCTAAGTTGTACTGCCCCTATATGGCATGCTGGTCCTTTGCAGATTACCCTGGCATTTGTCAGGTTTCACGAACAGATCACCAATATCCATTTGCGTGTATAAACCTGCATAGGCCAAGAACACAACACAATGACCCTGGCCAGCACTCAAACCAAGACCACTTAATCAAGAGTTCGAAGGCTGCATCGCCACAAGAAGAAACCACATGCTGATTAACTTACTGCTCCAATGTCCATGACCTCTTCCATGACATCAGGACAGAATGATGTAGTGTACGGTGAAATCTCTCCATAGTCCTGCTTTTGTTTCTTGAGATGAGTATTCAGATAGCTGTCAAAGAAAAATTAGTGTTTAATTTAGGAACATCCATCTATAAATGTAACTTAATGTGTAGTTTAGTTAGTAATGAACACAATGATAAATCATTCTCACTGCAAATATAGCCAGTCACTGCCTAAGCTAAGATTTTGACTAACAGTAAGAGATCATGTGTCATAAGAAATAAACTGTACACATTGCCAAAGGGGAGGCGGGTGGGCAAAAATTGGATACAACACAGCAAGGAGAGCAGAAAACCTAGTACCGGTAATTAAATTAATTTCACAAAATGTACCTTGCAGGGCTCGAAATTGCGACTTAACTTTACTTATTCGTGACTAGAAAAACGAGAGTAGTCGCAAATTTGTGACTAGGTTTTGCCTTGACTGACACAAATAAAAAAGGGCTAGCAGTAATCTCAAAGGAAAAAGAACATTACTTGTGGATGAAAGACACAGTTTATTCGAATAGATATAATAAAACAAACCCACGATTCTTTGATTGCCAACTGGATCGCCATGTTTGATTATTCTAAGGCACACTAAAGTAAACGACTCTCTCTCAAAACCTTCAAATTGGCTATCGCTGTGCAAAATCGCCCTATAATGCATTGCAAGCCCTTGAGCATTGAGTATGTCACGTATGTCTATGGATTGTGTATCTTCTATTAGATTTTGTGACTAAAAATTTACATTTAGCGACTATTTTTTACCACTTAGTCACCAAATGGCGACTTAAGGATTTTGTTAATTTCGAGCTCTGCCTTGTATATTATAAAACAGGATGCAAAGAAAATCAATGTTTGGAAAGGCTGTAACTAGTATATTGTTCTAGTCCAACAGTCTTTCTCACTTGTCCAGCCCTCTCAAAATTTCTTTAAATCTCTTACAGTGCTTTATTGGTAATTTGAATTTCCTCAACATTTTCCCAAAAACTTCACTTGCTTGTTGGACATGCAAAGGAGAGAATTCACTAGACCTGGGCTATCTGACACAGCTGGCTGGCTACAGGATGCTAATCACAATGATCTGATTTGAAACTTATTTAATTTTGAACAACACAAACATCACTCACCCAAATAAAAGATTCATTTAGAAGGAGCCTTTGCTGAATTGCGACCAGTGATCGTGATAGACTCGCAGAATATCAACATCAGAACCACTGACAGCCTATGACAAAGATAAATCAAAATACTTTGTTACTGCTCCCAACTCAAATACGTTTGCCAATTGGAGGAGAATGTGTCAAGTGTTGTGGGTCAAAACTCACTAACTGTTGTTTCGCTAGGGAAACAACAACCTGAACTTTCGACTCGCGCGTGATCAGGTCGTGCACCCAGAAACAGCGACACAAATTTGTGTGCAAGTCGCGACAGGCAAATGATGTTTTCGGAATTTTTACAATATTTTTGTTGGGAGGTATAACAAAACACTTAATGACTGGCCCCATGGGAAACACTGAGTTTTGCTGAGGGTCTCTAGGAAACAAAACTAACTGTTTCCCTTGGGACCGATCATTAAGTGCTTAATGACTAAGCTTATTCTTTTACTTGGAGCATGAATGAAAATGGAACAATATAGTACGATTTACATGGATCCTGGGCATATACCTTTTTTTTAATGACAAACTAAGGCTTTCTTGTACAGAACAATGAAAACCCTGGGTTACACAATACAACACAAATACAATGTACAGTACAATACAGTAACTTTTATTTCGTCTCAGTTTTTCTTAAACTCCAAAAACAGTCTTTGCTAGAATCTTCCACCCCAAAAAAGTCACAGACAAATTGTCTTAAAAAGTCATGAATTTAAACTGCAAATTTTAAACCTAAAACAGCCTTGATTTAAGTACCTCCATGTCACATACAGTGTAACTCTGTGACACTTTTACGACTGTGGGGTCTGAGTAAGTCAAATTCCTGTGGGACTTTTGATACTTTTTATAGCTACCTTGTAATGAAATCAAGCCAGTTGTAACAGTACAACCTGAATTACGTATGGCTTGTTTAAGTGTAAACAACTGCTTTTGGAGTTTATATTAGATACTGACAAACCTCAAAAAGGCTTTGACTGTGATTCTCCAAGAAATTCTTCACTTCAGCATAAAGTTTTTCACCTAAAGGCTCTGGAAAGGCTACACAAAGAGCATATACATCTCTAGCAAAAGTCAAGAAAGTGAAATTCCAAAAAAGCTGACCACACAATTAGTAATTTTACGTTTCTAAATGAACCTGACATTTTAGCTCATAGTGCAATTTCAGTTTTAGGATGAAACTTTCTGCTACACTATCACTGTCTGTGATATTAATTCAAACTTTTCAAATTACGACCTGAATGTAGTGTAAACTTGACATTTACCATAAAAAAAATTCACGCCAATATAAGCATATGGTTAATCAGGAACTGCTAAACACAAAACTATTATCCACCAAGTCTTAACTGAGATCAAATTTAATATAATTGAATCACCAGTGACAATAACTTTGGGAAGCTTTTTCGCCATCAGGGAAGACATTAAGAGCGACTAGAATATTAAGGTACAATAAATAATGATAAGCCACGTTTTGGAAATTTCCGCTCATTTTGTAGCTGTATAAGACTTACTTTAGTCAATTGCTTCACGATGTATCAAATTCAAAGAACAATGGCTGTTTAATTGTACTGCAAACAGAATGGTGGCAAAATGTGGCCATCACAGCAATCAAAACTCCACCTGAACAGACCAAGAATCTACAGTCAGAGTGCAAGTCGTGTCAAATTATGCATTGCACTTCCCTGTAAAGCGAAGGATACGAAAACCTGTCATTCCAGACCGCTCTTGGAATCTTTTTCAAAGTGACCACAGATTCCAATGTTTCCCGGATCTTAGCCCATGTTTCGTCAAAATTCACAGCCCGAGGTCTCAGTGACATCTTTCATCGTAGAACAACGGATAGGTTCCCAAAAATCTAGCTAAGCGACGAACAGGTTTACAGTCACAGCTCTAAATCTTCCAGACTTTTTCCGCACACGGCACGATTTACGATGACTTGATTGCGCTGGGTAACCACTCCTCCAGGCCATGTTTGGGAGCGCCCGAACAGGTATGATGGGATAACAAACATGATTTCAAGCCGAAAAGGACTAGGTACGAGTCTACAAATTATGGGATTAGCAGCTATTAATCCACATAGTCTTAAAGTGCACACCAAGTTTTACAAAATCCCCAAGTTTGGTAAAAATAGACCCAATAGTAAGCAAGATACAACCATTTGAAAACATCAAAATTAACAAAAAAATGTCTGGCCATCCGGACCCTGTGTCCGGATGACCAAATATTTCTGTGTAATTTTGGCGTTTTTAAATGGCTCTATCTCAGTAAAAACTAGCCTTATTAACACTAAACTTGGGGATTTTGTGAATCTCGGTGTGCTCATTCTGACTATGTGGATCAATAGTTGCTGATCCTACAATTTACAGACTCGTACCTAGTC